CTCTGTGACCTAAGGCTATCTCTAGTTGTCTAGTACCTGACTTTGTGAGAGTAGGGCAGGGGAATATTGACTCCTAGAGTATAAGAGCTAGATAGAAGAGGTGGCTCAGAGTATGAACTCTGGATTGGATTGGTCTGTGTATAAAAGCTGTTTGCTTCTCTAATAACTGGCTAGCTTTGGGAGAGGCAGCGTGCCCTTAAGCAGGTAGGTCCCAGATACTGGAGCATCAAGAATATAGAAAATAGCCCTAACTGGTTTGACTCAGTGGAAAGAGCGTCGACCTACTGACTGAAGGGTCCCAGGTTCGATTCCGGTCAAGGGCATGTAACTTGATTGCGGGCACATCCCCAGTAGGGGGTGTGCAGGAGGCAGCTGATCCATGTTTCTCTCTCATCAATGTTTCTAACTCTCTATCCCCGTCCCTTCCTCTCTATAAAAAATCAATAAAAAATATTTTAAAAAGAATATAGAAAATAAGAAAATATAATTAATACAATATTTAGCAATTTTGAAAGCTAGCTAAAAACATTTAGCAAAATAATTTAAATGGTCTTTGCTCCATTTCCTGAAACATGGTGCCCATGCCCTGATTTCAGTGATTGTGGATACTAATAATATTCTTAAGACTATTGATTATATCATTTTAGGCCTTTAGGCTATTCTGAAATTATATGTCCTTAGGCAAAAACAGCATATGTGATTAAGTGAAGTCCATTTTTAAAATAAATACTGGGTTAGAAACCTCACCTCATCTCATGCTACAAAGAATTTGTAGCTGTTTTTAACTGGTTTTGGGCAAGTCACTGAGTTGTTTACATCTCCTTCCTGCCACTCTCCTCAAGTGAAAAGCTGCTCTAGAATTTGTGTGTGTGTGTGTGTATACTACAGAGTCGACCATCCTCCAGGAAACAATGAAGAAGTCTTAAAACCTCATTTTTCCAGCTAAAGGCCTGCTGCTGTCAGCCCAGCCAAGCCTCCCTTGGAAGGTCAAGTGTTGAAATCCTTTGGAATGCTAGAAGAAAATTAGGCAAAAGTCCAAGTGTCAAGCACAATAGGCTCTATGGCAAGTTATCTTGTTTAAACTTCATATTCCAATGAGACAGATGCAGTTATTATTTCCCATTTAATAGTTGAGAAAACAGGAGGTGAGCTGGGTTAAATTGCCCAAAGTCATACTGCTGGTGAATACTAAATCAAAATAATGTCAAAATAGAAGGAAACATATTTTGGTTTAAGAGTATATGGGACTTTTGAACCATGCTTATCAGCCAAAACTTCAATGGGCTGCCTTTTTTTTGACTGGAAGGATTCAGGTAAAAATTGGATAACCATTTAAAAAAAAAAAAAAAAATATATATATATATATATATATATATATATATATATATATATATATTATTGATTTTGTACAGAGAGGAAGGGAGAGAGATAGAGAGCTAGAAACATCGATGAGAAAGACTCATCGATCAGCTGCCTCTTGCACATCCCCTACTGGGGATATGCCCGCAACCAAGGTACAAGCCCTTGACCGGAATCGAACCTGGGACCCTTCAGTCCCCAAGCCGACGCTCTATCCATTGAGCCAAACCGGTCTCGGCTAACCATTTTTTTTCAGAGATGTTATGGAGGGTAATCTCCAACTGCTTGAGCGTTGGATTGGACAGCCTTTTAATATCCCTTTGAATTCTTTAATTCTAAGATTCTGTTAGTCTGTGTTCACACAGAGAAAATTCACACACAGCATCTGGAGACTCTACCACCAGAGGGCAGTGTCTTCACACTTGGTCCATTGTCACAGAAGGAATCAAAGCTGGTTCCCTCTGGAGCTGCTTGAGAGCACCACGTTTAGAACCGTTAAAAGGGTGATATGGGCCTATGTGAAGATGGAGTGGGAACTACCAGTGGAATATTACTATCCCTTCTTCTATCAGCTTAAATAATGATTTCTGTCCGCCAATGAACTGGAGAGTTGTCAGACTGCTAATAATCAAAGGGAAGACACCATTTTCCAGAGAGCCTTAGGAAGCGTTCTAGGGGCTGTGAACTGGCAAGGAGCCCTCATAGTGTTGTCCCTGCTACCCCTTCACTCTGAAGACCAGAGAAGTGAAGAGAGGGAAGGCTTGAGTAGTGTTAATAAGGTGACAGCAGAAACCCTGTCATACTTGGAATGGTTGAAAGGCCCAGGAATATTCAGCCTGGAGAAGAGAAAACCTGGAGAACTGTCTTCCATTAAGGTTGTTATTCTGGGTATCAAAACCAGGGTTTTCAAGGGGATACTGCCACAGGGCAGATCTCAGCTTGATTTAAAGAAGAACTTTCTGGTAATGTCTGGAAGGACTACCTTGGGAGGCCACTAGTTCTCTATCACTCAGTCACAGTGTGTCTATTTTAGGGCAGATCTTTTTAGTTGCTAAGGAATATAGCACTGAGTAAAACAAAACAATCTGCCCTTATGGAGTTGACCTACCTGTGTCTGAACATATTCTGGAAGATGCTGAGGTGGATCATTTGGAAGCCTCAGATATCAGCCAGGATGGATCTTACCATTCCTTCAGTGGATTCCATAACTTCCTGAACTTTATGAAACCTAGATTGGCTTCATAACTCTGAGACTACCCTCAAAATTTGCAAAGAACATCATTATGACTGCATAGTTTTCATGGTTTCAGTAGAAACAAGCCTGTGAGTTATGATATAGGGACACAACAGAACTCTGATATATTGTAAAAATTGCCTCTGGATTTGGAAGTCTAAAAATAAAAATTCTTCACTTAAAAACCTCCAGTCAGTCTATTTTTCATATTTTATTTAAGCTGCATTGGGACAAGACATTAATTGTCCATGTGAAGAATTATTTTCAGAGAACAGCCAGGTCACACAGACTTTACATATTCCATCCTTGACATGAATATGTAGGATCTCAACTGAATCAGACCCACTGTTACTTTTTTCCAAGTGTTTACACATCTTGATACAGTCTTAGGGAAGCCATGCTAATTTTAATTCCTCTAAGTATTGGCGTTTATATTCTAAACCCACTTCCATCCATAGCTATCTTTATTTCTTAGCACCTGTCTTTTTCTGGCTTGCACTTTCCTGTGCATAACAAACCTTCTCAGAAAGACTCAGTTTTCCATTTTCACATATTTTTTCCTCTCAGTGGTCTGCTGTTGAGATCTGTGTCACCCTAGAGGACAAAAGAGAGAGAGGTTGAGAAAATCCTTGTGGGCCAGAGCTGGACGTCCTGACATCTTTGCCCTTTCTTGCTAGAAAAATGCCTGGACTGGTTCTACACAGGCTTCCTTCCTCATAATGGACACCATTGGGTTATATCTGGCTCATTCTGTGTAAGGCTGTGGTGGTTTAGATAAACCTTCCTTAGGCTTAGCGTGCTCAAGCAGGTCTGAATTCCACACAGGCCACCGAGAGGACCAGAGTGTGGTTCCCTGGAATACAATGCTCCCCATGTGCTTGCCTGTGTTGTCTCATGAGAGGCCAAGGGGCTTGTTTTTCTGTTGTGATGTGTCTTCCCAAGAAAGAAGAGCTACTGCTCATTTCATCCCACAAATGGATTTTTAAAACTAACAAGATTTTCTTATAGAGATTGTGGGATACTTGCATTCAACAGGGCCTTTCACAGCCTCACCCAGGCCTATCCTGCTAGCTTCATTTCCCTCCCTGTCCATCACTTTTGCCTCATCATGAGTCCCTCTTCTCCAGTCATGATGTACCCTTGTGTGAATCCCACCTCTGCGCTTTCACATGTGTTGAACCTTCTATCTGGAGTTCCCTTTCCTTCTCTACCTGGTGTGGCATCAGTTTATTTATTTTTATTAATTTTTTTCATTTTCATTTATTTTAACATCAGAAACTAATACTCTTATAAAATATGCTGATAATGTCCATGGATGTCATACAGTCTCAATTGCTATAGAAGTTTCTAAAAATGTCCTCTTAGGTTCTGTACTTCTGTTATCTTGGAAGGTAAACAGGCACCACCCTTGAGTGGCACTGCTCTAGATTCTTGTACAGGTTACATCCAGTGTGGAGCTGTTCCACCCAGCCACTCCAGGTTAAATCAGCCACTCATTCCCTGTGGTCCCTTCCCAGGAGGCAAACACCACATCACAGATCATTTGCGCACAGCCTTGTGTTAATTGATGTGTGTGTCTATCTCTCCACTGGATTCTGAGCTCCACAAGGGAGGATGGTCTTTCCTACTCATCTTTATATTCCATAGTACAGGCCTAGGCCATATACAGAGCTTGATAAATATTTGCGGGACTTAATATAATGCCATTTGGAAAACTAAACTCTGTGAGGTCTTGACTCGTGTTGACTCATGAGCTAGTTTGCTTAAGACATGTCATGGCTACAGATGACATATCTGCTCCCATGACCAATAGGGAAAATGGGATAAGAGAGTGAAGATGGATCAAGACATGGATAACAGACCCCAGGGCTCTCAGCCTTCTAACCTTGACTTGCTATTGGCACAGTGATGTGGAGAGAGATCAATCGGCTAGGGCTAGCAGACCCCAGGAATAAACAGTCACCAAGCCAAGGCAGGGGATATGCGTTATGAGGTGTCTAATTCTGGAGGCTAACACTTAGCAAGTGGAAGGAGCTGAAATGCCTCCTGAGTCTGGATGGTGCAGGAAACCCATCTGGTATCTTCTTTAGGATCTACCTGCATGGTTGATGAGTGCTGGTCATTCTTCCATTTGGAATAGGGGCTGCCCCCCAGTTCTGCAGGTACCTTTAATTTTGGGGTATAAGTATAAGGATGCCCATCATGGACACCCATTAAGTTCTCAATCTAGAACCATAGCATAATAAAACTTTTATAAATTTGCCTCCTGTATTCTTTTTAATTGGTTTTGAATTAAAAAAAATAAGAAAGGGCTATTTTAAATTGTCTCTCTAAAATTCCATCTGCACTGAGGCTCAAGAAATGGTACTGCAATGATTATTATTTCTTTAAAGCTAGTTATCGAAATTCAACCAGTATTGATGAGATCATCAAGAAGAATGGTACTGTGGGGGATGTGAAAGATGAATACACATTGCCTATAAGCTTGCAATTGTCCCTACGGCTGTCCAGTGAAAACAAGCTTGTACTCAGCGCCTATTTTCCAGGCTTGGTATTAAGTAACATCGGACATGGAACCTGCTTTCAATGAGCTTTTACTCAGATGGGGACACATCATGACTACCAGTACCTGCGATACAGGTAAATAGCACCACAGCTGAGGGAGGGGAAACGTTGGGGTTCTCATTGTGTGATAAATAGTGATATGGAGCATCTTTTCATGTGTTTATTGGCCATTTGTATATATCTTCTTTGGAGAAATGTCTATTCAAGTCTTTTGTCCAGTTTTTTATTAGATTATTATTTCATGGGGTTTTGTGATGAATCATTGAAGTAAGACATTTCAAAGTGTTTGTTAACCACAGAGTACCCGATCTGTATAAAGTACTACCATTATTGCCTTTCAACAGATGTGGAAACTGAGGTTCAGAGAGGTTCGTCTAATTTGCCCAACATCACATGACTAGTAAGTGGCAGAGACCCAGATTTCTGAACTCTGCTCCATCATGCACTCAGTCAGCCTCCCATCCCATCAGCCCCATACCTCGTAGCTTCAAATTCTTCCTCTTTCTCATGAGTTCTCTGGTCAATGTCAGCTTTCACCTGAGCTAGTTCCAGCTGAATTCGAATCACCTTGCTCTCTTCAACCTGCCAGGAATGTAAATGTCAGTCTTTCTGTCTAAGCAGGTTTGCAGACCCTTGCCAAGTGTTCAGCCTCCAAAGACACAGACACGAGGTTACCTCCAGGGAAGACTCAGCTTCCTTTAGGGCCACTTGAAGTTCGTCCTTCTCAATCTCTAGGTTTTTTTTCAACTTCTGCAGCTCATGCACACTCCATCCTCCCTCGCCCAGCTGATCAATCAGTTCCTTTATCTCCTCTGAGAAAGATAATATTTTTGTTAATAAGGTGCATGAGGACTTCCAGCTTCGCAGGATCATGGCATGTGGCACAGATATTCCTCTGCTGGGGCCAGAAGCAGGCACTCCTAGCCTCATTGTATCAAAAGAGAAGCAACACACTCCAAGTCATGGGCTTGTGGAGCATCAGGCCTTGAGTGGATCCAAGCTCCTCTTTTTCTAGATGAGGGTCTGAAGCCCAGAGAAGAGTAAGCAAGCACAGAGTAGCTTTAGGGCCAGTGCCCAGAACTCTGGGGCTGTCAGTTCTATATGCAAGGCCTTCCTTTCTGGAGACACCCCCCCCCCCCCCCCCCCCCCCCCCGCGCCAGTACCCCCAAGGCCTCAAATTCCAGCCCGAAATTCTTATATGTAAGGAATAAGTATACATATGTATATTACTTACATAACAGATGTAAGGGCTAAAATAAAATCTACCGAGCTTTTATTTGTGCCAGCTCTTCTACTAAGTGAAGACTTGACACATTTTATTGTATTTTATTAGCACAACAACCTTACAAGGAAGATAGTATTATTTCCCTATCTTATAGATGAGGAAATGGAGACACAGATAGTTAAAGTAACTCACATGCCTGAAGTTATATTACTGAGTGCTTGAGTGCTTCTACAAAACTCTTGCCAGACAGTCAACAAACATTTATTGTGCACCTACCATGTGCCAGTTGCTTAAACCCATGATGTGCCTGGGAGAAAGTGGGCTCTGGCTGTGTCTTTGTCCCTGCAGGCCCACCTCCCTGCCCTTGACTCACCCTGCAGGGTCTTGTTCTCCTTCTTCACTGACTCAAGGTGCTCGATGGACTCCTCGTAGGCGGTCTTGATCTTGAAGCTCTCTGTCATGTACATGCGGCACTCCTTCTGTGAGCTGTCCACCTCCACCTGCAGCTCCTCGCACTTCTGCTGCCACTCAGCCAGCATCTTGTCAAAGACCCGTTGCTTCTTGTCCAGAACGGCAGCTGCAGCATTGGCCTAGGCCTAGGGAGAGATGGGGATGGTCTCTGACTTTCCTGCCCCTTTCCCCTCCTGCTGCCCCCTCCCTTCCTTTCCTCTCCTTCCCCAGGGACTCTGGTGATCACAGACTTCTCGGGGATCGGGATATAATTCAACATTTATGGCACAAGCCAGGCTTAGGGAATCAGGAAAGAGCTACATTCTAGTTCTAAAACTTCTGCTACTTAGATGTGTGACTTTGGGCAGTCTACCTTACCTTCCTCGGCTAGAATTTTCTCACGTGTAAAATGAGGAATCTGGGCCACAACATCCTTCCCAGATTTATGACATTTGCCCAATTCCCCATAATGTATTTCTCTATAATGAATTACTATACATTATACATCCATTGTCCAACTCAGAGATGGGTTTGGTGTTATTTTTCTGTGAATCAAAGCTGATTATTCTTAGACATTATTTTTTCATAGATTTTTCATTTTTTTCATAACTTTCTGGTAACTATATACTTGCTGCTGTGCAATACCAGATTTTGTAAATTTCTGCGTTATTTCCTAATTTGGGAGGTGCAAAACTTTTTGGGTTTTAGGACTATTTTTTGAAGCCATTCCAATGAATGTGACCTTTTGTCCCTCGCAGCTGGCATGAAGCAATGGTCCTGTGTAGACCAAGACCAGGTTGATATGGAAAGGCAGGGGATCTTATTTAACTTGGCTGAAGACTGGCAAATCAGCCTGAACCCCAAAGGTGCAAAGAGGAATATTTAGCCACACAAACTCTGTGGGAAATGGTTTTTATGAGAGAATAGGGAACAGGGATAATATATTACATGGCTTCCTGGGACTAAATTTTATCCTTGTCATAGGTCTATTTAAATAGTGGCTCGTTGAGTGTTAAGATATAGAATTATGAGTATATATATATAAACACATACTCAAGCAGGAGCCTGTTTTCAGTGGGCCTGTATATAGACCTGTGTTTCATCCTCATAGGCCACTATTTCTTCCTGTTCACCCCAGACATATGACAGTCTCATCCAGCTCTTTGTGGGCCCTTTGACCTGGCAAATAGGCAGCCTTTGAGCCTTTGACCTTCTGACCTTTTCCAAGTCAATGGTGAGGTCCTCGACTTCTGCCTGGAGTCTCTGTTTATTTTTTTCAAGGGAGGCAGCCTGGGCCTGGGCGGCTTCAGCTGTTTCTTCCGCTTTCTGGAGCCTGGCAGCCAGTTTCCTCCTGTGGATGAGGGCAAGAGGGGCAATCAAGGAAACGTGGGAGCCCACAGGCAGGGGGCCCGGGAGTGTGGCGCTGAGCTCTAGGGTGACATGGACAAGATGAAGCAATCACTTCCATTCTTTAATTCAACAAGTATTTGTTTCTATTCTGTGCCAAGTATTGTTCTAGGCATTAGGGAAGCAGCAGTAAACAAAACAGACTAAGATCTCTGCCCTCATGGAAGTTCTGTTCTAGGCGGGACAGACAATACACAACATATAGACATAGCACTATGGAGAGAACAAAGCAGGGAAGGGGACACATGAGCAGAGGCCTCAGAGCGGGCAGGGGAGGCACTTGCTCCACTGTGCTCCCTTGTAGCTACACAGGACCATTGCTTCACGCCAGCTGCGAGGGACAAAAGGTCACATTCATTGGAATGGCTTCAGAAAATAGTCCTAAAACCCAAAAAGTTTTGCACCTCCCAAATTAGGAAATAACGAAGAAACTTACAAAATCTGGTATTGCACAGATGTGGGTGTCTGGGGTGGAAATTCCAGGCAGAGAGGTGAGGGATGAGATTTAATTGTAGCCAGGAGTGAGAGCAGGCAGTTGCAGGTAGCTCCTGAATAGCTCACAGTAGAAAATAAAAAAGGGCTGGGGGCAGGAGGTGGGAGTTACAGGAAGGCAATTTAGGCTCAACCGTTGAAGATCTTTAGATAAAAGATTTGTGTCAGCTGGAAGGCACAGTGGTTACTTCTATCCTGTCGCCACAAATTCATTGAGTGGAAGAAGGGCACAGCAAGGAGGCACAGGGCTCACATTCAGGGCTTCTCTAGGGGTTGGGGGCGGGGGGGGGGGGGAGGGAGAAACGGTGGGCCCATGGCACCCAAGCAGCCTCTTATGCAAGAGGCCAGCTCAGAGCCACATCTACGTGTCCAGGCCCTTCAAGCAGAGTGTCCACTTCTCTAGTTTGTGAATGAGGACTCAAGGACATTTACCACAGATGTCCTCTATGGTAAATGTCCTGGGGAAAGGCAGAGTGGGAACCTTAGCCACGGGGTGTGGTCTGTGTACTGCCAGCATCACAGAGAGGCTCCGCCCCAGACACCCCAGGCCTGTGGAGGCTTCCTAAGCACTTCAGAGGCAGAGGAGCCGCCTGGAGGGGGAGCCCCTGCTCCTGACTGCCCTGTCTGACCTAGCACTTAAGGCGGAGGACGAGGTAAGAGAGCCCTATATGGAACCTGAAGGCTGGCGGTGAGCCCTAAATGATGGAACCTGTCTAGATACTCATCCCTCCTTTAGAGGAACCTGTAAGCTGCCTCCTTCTGGTCTCAGCTGTGGCTGATGGTGGTGAGATCCCCAGGGCCCACCCACCCGCTTGGCCTTCCCGGTTCTCCCGGCATAGTTGAGCTCACTTGGTCTCCTCCAGCTCCTCAGTCCTTTGGATGGCATCAGTCTCATACTTGGTCCTCCAGGTGGTCACCTCGGTGTTGAGTTTGGACACTCGCCGCTGCAGCTCTTTCCAGAGGCCCTGGAGAGAGAACCCCCGCCCCTCGCCCCTCGCCCCTCTCCCCTCGCCCCTCGCCTTTGATAATTCATCTGAAAGTATCAAAAGGCTGCAGCTGCGGAGCCTGAAGGCACGTGGTGCCTCTGAGGCTCCAGCTTTGGGACATGAGAATCACCTGCGGACCTGGGCCTCCCCCGGACCAACTCAGCCTCTGGCCCGGCTCAGGTGCAGGTGTTTGGAGCTCCCCACGTGGCTCCAGTGGCCACCCAGGCCAAGGGCTATTGGCTGGTCAGACACCAGCCCTATAGGGAAGGGCCCAATGCCCTAAAACTCTCGCACCTTCCAGGGGCGTTCAAGGCTGACTCTAGCGCTGGAGGCCATGGCTCCCTGACCGGTGAGTGAGGAACAGGCGGCCTGTTCCTGTGCATGAGGGTGTGTGTGTCACGGGGGGCGGGGGGGAGAGAAGGGGGCTCCTGGTGTGGCTGTGTCCTCCCCTAACTCTCTATCCGGTTTTGACCAGACACCTTGCCTTGTGTGGGCAGTGACCACAGAGCTCTCAGGGGGCCGGGTGAGGCTCCCGAAAGCCAGGCCTGTTAGGAGGGGGGTCTCCCAGATGGCCTGGGCCTGGTCTCTCCTGTTGACTGCTGCCTCAGTTTACAGCAGCCATGCTCAGTGGCCCCCGGCCTGTCTCCAGGGTGTGGGTAAGGAGGGTGTAGTACGTTTGCCCTGCAGAACCCAGCTGGGGGCTTGCAGGGCGCGGAGCTGTGTGACCACACAGCAGCCTGTGGATCTGGGCGCCCCGTGCCTTGGCCGTGTTCCCGCTCCCTGACCTGTGCCTCCGGACATTTCCACCCGGGCGAAGTGTCCACTCAATTCTGCGCTCTCCGCAAAGCCTGGCCCCTGCCTCCTCCCTGGCTGTGACACTGGCCTCCCCTCTGGGCCAGCATGAACCTGGGGAGAGGCCTGACCGTGCATCCCCCTGCATCAAATGTGCTGTGTGGCTCTATCTTATTGATAAAACCCTTTGGGGAGCCAAAGAATGCCGAGGAGGGGCCGTTCCTGGGGCCTGCTACTCCTCTCCTTCCTGGGGACCTCCCCCACCCCAGCCAGCTTGCTGGCCTGTGCTCCATTTTTCCTGGGGAATAAGCCTCACTCACTCCAACTCCATGTGTAGTTAACTTAGCTTAAAACAAACCCTACTTCGTTTGAAGAAGTGACCATTAATGATTTAAGTCTGAACATAAAGGATGTCCACAGTACAGCTGGAGTGAGAAGCGTGTCCCCAACCCACGCATCAAGCTCCTCTTCTGTAATGAGGCCCCCCCCCCCCCCCCCCCCCCGCACAGGAGGAGGGCGGCTGAGTGTGTGGCGGGCGGCGCTGTGAGGTTACGTGGGGGAGGAGAGGGGTTGTTGGGAGTTAATGCTCAACACGTTTATGAAGAGCTTGATTTTCTTAAGCTGCGTGTGTTAATGTTAAATCAGGAAAATACTGCTTTGGGAAAGCCAACTCTGGGAGGCTGAGCTATGTCTTAATTTAACAGTTCTTAGTTCATGAAAGATGCTGACAGTCAAAGATTGGCTGGATCTGGAAAAACAGAAGGAAAACGGCATGGCCTGTGATGCCCCAGCCGGAGTGAGTGACTCAGGGCCATTGGCAAGGTCTGGCCTGGGGCCCTTGCCTGGGCCTCTGCGCCCGACACCAGGGTAGGGCTCTCAGTGAGTGGGAACCAGCAGAGCTGGCGTGAGTCTGTGTGCGTGTGCATGTGTGTTTGTATGTGTGTGTGTGCGTGGGCACGCACGTGCAATTAAGCCCCTCAGTTGGTGATGTTTGTGTATAGGACCAGTTGGGCTTTTTCTGGATCAAACTCAGAGAAGCCACTGGTAAAGGATGACGGTGGCCTGCTCTCCTGGGTGCTACACATAGCCACGCGGGAGGAAGGAAGCACTCTGAGCTGTGACCGGAGAAGCCTGTGGCAGCCAGGAGGCTTGCTTTGCAGCTGGCTTTGCAGACTGTCCCCCAGTGCAGTGGTTTGGCCAAGCCTGTGGCTTCCAAACTGCAAGACGTGGCAGGGAGCGGGGAGGACCCTGTCCCACCTGCAGTGAGCCTTCTCTGCTTCTGCCTGCAGAGGCCTTCCACTTGGTATTTGATTTGAAGGAAGGTGGTTTGCTCTCTAAACCCCGGGTTCTACTCCCAAGGTTCCTCCTGGCTGTATTTTGGGGGTGTGGCAGAAGGCTGAATGGTTCCCATGGCAACATTTCTAGAACCAGACAACTGCCTTGTGTCTCTTCAGAAGCAAAAGTGTTTTCTCTCCAGGGACCAAACCAGCCTCTCAGGCACCAGCGGGCAGTCTCGGGTACTGAGCTGGGTGGGCCGCTCCCGTGGGTGGCACAGTAATGAGGCGGCACCATGCAGCAGAATTTCCCTGGTGGCCTCTGCTGCTCCCATTGCCTCAAACGCGTGCTTCCCTCACCCCGTGTGTCAAGTGTCACTCATGGTGGTGGCTCAGTGTTCTCCTGATCAGATCTTGTTACAGCTTGTTGGTGGCAATGCAAACATGGACACATGAGTCAGCTCTAGACCCAAGTCCTGGTTCTGATATGTATAACAGCTGTGGGAACTCTGGGTCTCCGTGGGAAATGGTGTCGGAAAGAGTTTCTCCACCTGCAAGATGGAGGTTACTCTACCTTACTATTAAGGTTGCTTCATTTAACCCTAAATGCCTAATGTTCTTGTCACATAATCAACGTGTCTTGGTCATTGTTTCCTGAAATAGGCCCATAATAATAGCTTATCCCAGACTTACAAAATACCTCAAGTCTTACCTCTTAAGATAGGATATATTCTAGTAGCTTCTCATCCTATCTGACAAAGAGGGAATATGCTAATTGACCATCGCTGTCACAAAGCTGGCTGCACCCACAGCTGAGGCCAAGTTCCCATAAGGAGCCTTAAGGAACAATCAGCAGGGACCTGAGGCCACGCCCTCCCCCGCCCCCATGGAGCTTGACAGGGGACCTCAGGCTGTGTCCCCCACCCGGCAGGGCTTGAATGGGGACCTTAAGGTGCACTTCCCATCCTGGTGCTGGGCTAGGGGACCTCAGGCTGTGCCCCCACCAGGTGGGGCTTGACGAGAGACCTCAAGGTGCACCCCCAGTGCTGGGTTGGGGGAACTCAGGCCACACCCCTGCCCAGAAGAGCTTAACAGGGGACCTGAGGCTGCACCCCTCCCACCTGGTGGGGCTTGACAGGGGACCTCAAGCTATGCCCCCCACCGAGCGGGGCTTGATAGGGGATCTCAGGCCGTGTCCTCTACCTGGTGGAGTTTGATGGAGGACCTCAAGGCACACCCCCTCTCCTCCCGCCCTGGTCTGATTTGGGGGACCTCAGGCCTTGCCCTCCATCCTGGCATCAGGCCAGGGGACCTGAGGCTATGTCCTCTGCCTGGCAGGGCTTGACAAGGGTGGGACTGGTGGGGTCTGGATCTAGCTCAATGGGGCTTGGGGGGCTGGGGTTGGGTCTCACTAGATTTTGAGATGCATGTGGGTGGGCAGGGACTTGACTCTGGGCCCCGTGGTGTGCCCCAGACTCTGACAGGAGGAAGGTTTTCATACACATATTACTAATTTTCTTTCATCACTGACACTTCTATTATAGAGAAAGGGCAAATAGAAATATTAAATAATTTCCTCTAATTAATCCCCTTTTAATGTGCACAAATTTTGTGCACCGGGTCACTAGTTTAAATATAAATCTCAGAATACAACTGATAGTCATCTTTTTAAAAAAAATTCTTTATTGTTGAAAGTATTACGTACCAGAGGCCTGGCACATGAAATTAGTGCACTCAAGGGAGGGGTGTCCCTCAGCCCAGCCTGCGCCCTCTCATAGTCCAGGAGCCCTTGGGGGATGTCCAATTAATGGCTTGGGCCTGCTCCCAGGGGGACTATCAGTTGGACAACCTTAGTGCCACCGCAGAGGTGGGAGAAGCTCTTACCACTGCCGTGTGTTTGCCAGCCATGAGCTGGCTTCTGGCTGGGCAGCGCTCCCCTGTGGGCGTGCACTGACTACCAGGGGCAGCTCCATTGAGCGTCTGACCCCTGGTGGTCAGTGTGTGTCATAGTGACCGTTCAGTTGATTTGCATTTTAGTTTTTGTTTTTTTTTGCCTGTGGGATCGGGCCAAAACTGGCTCTCTGACATCCCCTGAGGGGTCCTGGATTGTGAGAGGGTGCAGGCCAGGCCAAAGGACGGGGGAGGGACGAGGGAGGTTGGCCAGCCAGGGAGAGACCGTGGGAGGGATCTAGGGCATGTCCAGCCCGTCTCGCTCAGTACCTATTGGCCAGACCCCAGCAGTAAGCTAACCTACCAGTCAGAGGGTCTGCCCTCTGGTGGTCAGGGCACATGATAGTGAGCAGTTGAGTGACCTTAGCCTATCATTAGCATACTACACTTTGATTGGTTGAATGGACAATTGGACAACCAGACACTTAGCATTTTAGGCTTTTATTATATAGAATGTCTCCTTTTTTCCCCCCCATTGATCTCTTTTAGCCTGCCCCTGCCCCCCACCTCAGGCCTCCACTACCTTATTGTCTGTCTGTGGGTTATGCATATAGGTATACAAGGTTCTTTGGTTGATCTCTTCCCATCCACCCACCCCTGCCTTCCCTCTGAGATTTAACAGTCTGTTCATGCTTCTATATCTCTGGATCTGTTTTGTTCATCAGTTTATTTTGTTCATTAGATTCCACACATGAGTGAGATCATGTGATACTTGTCTTTCTCTGATTGGCTTAGTTCGCTTAGCATATTACTTTGCAAGTCCCTCCATGTTGTCTCAAAGGGCAAAATATTCTTTTTTTTACTTCAGTATAGTATTCCATGGTATAAATGTACCACAGCTTTTTTATCCACTCATCTGCTGATGGGCACTTGGGCTGTTTCCAGATGTTAGCTATTGTAAATGGTGCTGCTATGAATATAGGGGTGCATACATTTTTTTTTTTTTTGATTGGTGTTTCAGTTTTCTTAAGATATCTTCATGGAAGTGGGATCACTGGGTCAAATGGCAGTTACATATTTAATTTTTTTGAGGAAACTCCATACTGTTTTTTATTATGGCTGCACCAATCTGCATTCTCACCAGCAGTGTACTAGGGTTCCCTTTTGTCCACGTATTTAGCCAACAATTGTTGTTTGTTGATTTATTGATGATAGCCATTCTGATAGGTGTAAGGTGCTATTTCATTCTGATTTTAATTTGCATTTCTCTGATGATTAATGAGGTTGAGCATATTTCCATAATGTCTATTGGCCATCTGCATGTCATCTTTGGAGAAGTTTCTGTTGTTTTTTGGTATTGAGTTGTATGAGCTCTTTATAAATTTATGCCTTATCAGATATCATTGGTGAATATGTTTTACCATTCAGTAAGTTGTCTTTTCATTTTTTGTTGTTTTCTTTTTTTTAAATATTTTTATTGATTTTTTACAGAGAGGAAGAGAGAGGGATAGAGAGTTAGAAACATCGATGAGAGAGAATCATTGATCAGCTGCCTCTTGCACACCCCCTACTGAGGATATGCCTGCAACCAAGGTACATGCCCTTGACCAGAATCGAACCCGGGACCTTTCAGTCTGCAGGCCGACACTCTATCCACTGAGCCAAACCAGTTTCGGCTGTTGTTTTCTTTTGCTGTGCAAAAACTTTTAGTTTGATATAGTTATATTTCTTCATTTTTAAAAATTTTCATTGCCTGAGAAGTTATATCAGAAAAAAAATTACTAAGAGAAATATCTGAGATTATACTGCCTATTTTTTTCTTATAGAAATTTTATAGTTTCAAGTCTTATATTTCAAGTCTTTAATTCATTTTGAGTTTATTCTTATACATAGTGTAAGAAGGTGGTCTAGTTTCATTTTTTGCATTTATGTGTCCAGTTTTCCCAACACCATTTATTAATTTGACTGTATATGTTCTTGCCTCTTTTTGAAAATATTCACCATAAGCTGTGGGTTTATTTCTGTTCTGTCCCATTGATCTATATGTCTGCTCTTCTGCCGTTACCATGCTGTTTTGATTACTGTGGCCTTGTAGCATAGTGTGATGTCAGGGCGTGTGATTCCTCCAACTTTGTTTTTCCTGAAGATTTCTGTGGCTCTTCAGGGTCTTTTGTGGAGAGACCAGAAGTATCTTAATACATTTTAGCTTCCTTATAACTAATACTTAAAAGTATTCAACCTAAAACTCACTTATCTATAAAAGTTAGATCATTTCCCCAAGACGCTCAATACTGTCACGTCTGTGAGTTTTGCTTGATATAAAGAGAAAAGGGTTATTTTCAGTTTCATTCTCCCTTAATCTGGTGTCCAAGTACAATAAAACTCTTGGGACTGGATCAAGACTTGAAGGGACACATGGACTGATTCCCTAACCGTTAAAATAGTCAGGGATGTCTGGGGCATGGGCTCTCCCTTCACATCCCCGGTCTGGCTTGGATGCCCACATTGGAAGGCTCAGGCCTGCTCCTTGGGAACTGATCAGCACCAGTGAAGTTGTGCTCAGACTCGGGGCAATGGGATGCTGAGAATCCTGGCCTGCCCAGGGTGTACATGATCTTCATTCACTTTGGGAGGAAGATGACTATTTTTCTGGGTGTGGTATAGTAGAAGAGGAGGAGGCAAAACCAGCTGATACTACCGGTATTTACCAGCTGGGTGATCTTAACTTCTCTGGCTTGTTGCATCTGTAAAAGTGAAATCAGATGCTTTACACATGTTCTAAAAGCTGAATGTGGTGACAGCCTGACTGCCTAGCTCTTAAGTGCCCCAGCTCTTTCTTTTAAACACTAGATGAGGTGGCAACAGTGGACAGATGTCAGCCTGGAGCTGAAGAAGCCCAAGAAATAGGAGCAGGCCTGAAAGAGAGGAGATAACTACCAACCTCTCCTTGGACCCAGTTTCTGATAAACTGTCCGAAGGGGCACGTATGGAACATAGCAATTAGAACAGCTGTGTGTGAAATACAGCCTCAGTTTCTCTGGCTGGAAAATGTTTAATGGGTTCAGAGCTTGCAAGCTCTAATTGATGGTCTTTAGGGAAAAGAGATCTTGGCTTGAACTAAACCGATGTTGTCAGAAAGTTACGAGCTGTTATTCTTGTTTCTGTGAGACTGAGATCTATGTTCTAATGGAGGGAAATGCTGCTTCTAATTGAAAATTCACTTGCTACTGCTCAGCTGCTCTAAATAGGCAATGAGGGGTCATAAAGGTTATATCTCAGGAGAGGCATCTAGTCACTCAGCCTGTAAAGTCTTCTCTAGGATTTGAATGCTACCCTTCATCTTCCCTTCTTTTCCACTTTCATTCTCCCTTAATCTGATGTCCAAGTAAACTCTTGTGACTAGATCAAGACTTGAAGGACACATGGACTAAT